CTTCCCTCCCGAATGCTGCTCCCCTCCAGAGCCTTCCTTGGCCTTCCCTTTCTTGCTGCCACGCCCCTTGAAGCCCTTCATGCCATAGGCAGAGCCTCCACCTTCACCGGCAGCGGCGGTCAGCTCCTTCCTCCGAAACTCCTCTTGAAGAACTTGTGCGCGAATCCACTCAAGGGACCACGAGTCCTTCATCCCATTAAGGTTGACCACCAAGGGCCCCCACGACTCCGGCAGCAGGGAGAGAGCCTTGTAGCACTTGATTTTCTCAGGGTAGTCCACACCAGCAGCTGAGAGCTTCACATAGAGGTCCCGGAGTTGATCGAACGCTCCTTGTACGGCATCACCCTCGTTGATCTTCACCGCATGGAGTTGTCGCTCGAGCACCACCACCATTGCTTCGCTGCTGGGGGCATGGACATCCTTCAATATCCTCCATGCCTTAGGACCACACTCAGCTTCCTTGATGAGATGCTTGATGTGGTGCAGCTGGTTGGATGAGAGGCATTGGGAGAGAAGGAAGAATCCATCCTTGGACCGGCGATCCCATTCTTTGGTCGCTCCTTCGCTCGTAGGCCTCTTGAATTCTCCATCCATCACTTCAAGCAGCCCATAATGGTTGAAGAGGAGCTCCATCCTGAAGCTCCATGATGCCCAATCATCCCCAGAGAACTTCTCCAGGTTGAATGCCTTCACATCATCCTTAGCTGATGTTGAAACTGAAGCCATTGGCGCAGATCCGCCTGCAACACCTCTTCCCGCTTCCCCAGCGCCTCTCACGCCACCACTGCCACTAGGACCAGCTGGAGCAGAACCTTCAGCCTCCATTTTCACCCACGAACAGAGTAGAACACCTCTGATACCACTTGTTATAGTCTGCAGTCCACTTAGGGGTCGCGGATGCCCATGAAACCGCCTAAGCAGAATCTGACGTCTTCAAACCGCCTCTGTTCAAAACGCCGTGACGATCAGCTCCGAGAACATACGAGGCTGAAACTTGGACAGCGGTTAGCCTTAGGTGTCTGCTTTCCAACGGTATATTACTTGCTATTTTCAGAGGTGTGTGCACTACGCAGTGAACGAAAACGTAAGCTCGGCTGAAAAAACGTGTATTCTCATTGATGCAAGGAAGAGGTGAGTACAACATTGCCTAGGGGACTCATAAGGGGTTGGGTCATCCTGGGAACTCAGAGAAGGTTGAGTCCTAGGGGAGAAAGGCTAGAGAAGAATGGGAAACGTCCTAGCTAGGTCAGCAAAGCCAACCACACTTGGATGTTCAGAGCTGTACTCAAGGCTACCAATAGTGAGTCAAGCCAACATGAGTCAGCTTGTCTTCCCACTTGCACCCTCTTGCAAGTTGCTTCCAAGAAGACCACACTTCTCAAAAGGAGGGTTGTAGAGTCCCACTTGACCACCTGTACTTCTTGTCTCATTCTCTGTCCCTGCACCATTGGCATGACAACAATGAAAGGGTGGCAAGGGAAATGCTGCCAACAGTGCACCATGACTACGGAACAGTGAATTTCGGCAGCTGTCACGCAATGCTCAGATGTTGGATCGTTCTGAAACTTGGTGACCACTTGCACAGCGGGGCAAAGGACTTCCAGACCGAATTTCAGACCAATCAGATCTCGGTAGACGAGTCAGCAGCCGAAATGGTGAACTCGGGTGTTACCAAAAAGGAGTAACACACACTTCCGGGATGCCATAAGTCTTGAAACATAAAATGTTGTCATGCCTTGGTAACTGCTTCAAAAACTCTGAAACTTTGAGGGTTTGAAGAACACGTGTTGAACAACCTCCCCAAAAAATTCCAGAAGCTGAGCAGGCTTGTAGGCCGAATGGGAGTGCGATGACCGTGCCACTGTAATGTGTTGGCACAACACTTTCACCCGCGCCACTCATACTCGGGAAGGGTGGAGGTGGGTATGACTACTGCAGTGGGGGTGCTTGCTGCGTTGGAGGTCCTTGCCAGTAATACGGCATCCCGGGTGGTGGAGGATATGGCGGCACCGGAGTGTACCCCTGATGGATGAAGGGCGTGGGCGGGCGAGGAGGGGCTTAAAGTGGAGCGTCGGGACGATGCGGCGTGGAGGCTGGAGAAGGACCCGGCTGTTAATACCCTGTGTCCTGCGTTTGCGGCACTCTCGGCTGCTGCGGCTGTGCAAGGGCGGGGGCTGGAGATGGCGCTGCCGGGGAGTACCTGACTGCATGCACTGTGGCAACATTCTGCTAATGCGGCATGGCTTCATTGTTGGGCCTGGTCCGCGAGGCAGGACGAGATCCTGCAAGGGGGGAGGGTCGGTGCCTCTTAGAGGTTGAGCCTATGTCGGGCTGGCCCGGCGCACCCACGATGCCCTCTTTAGGAGCCGCACCTTGAGCTTTCTCCAGAGCTGCCAAGCGTTCACTCAGGCAGGTTGAGGCTGTCATGTCTGGTCCGCAGCTCTCTTACGTCTGCGCGCAAAGACAGCACTTCTTTCTTCAGCTGCTGCACGTCGATGCTTGTTTCCCGCACGATTCCACTAAACTCCGATACGTCGGCACTACTCGGCGGAATCTTGTATCCGGCGGCCTGTAGAGCCGACAGAAGATTCCCGGGTATGTGTGCGCACATGTCTGCACGCCAGTCGCGGCGAAACCGTGCGGGGGATGTGGTGAAAGTGATGGGACCTTCGAGGCACTGGAAAGAAGAGGACAACAGCGAGTGAAGGTACATGGCGGCATATATTCCGCAGTCCAGGCTCTTCTTTGGCTGGCGTGGAATCGCCCAACCAACCTAAACAAAAGCAACACACCAAATTAGTTAAGGAACTCAAAGAAAGCGTGCGAAGTCGTATGAATACGGTAGACCAATGAGGGAGGCAATTAGATCGAGGACCGCATAGGGCATAGCGTTGATATGGGCCGTCACATTAGTCGTTGGAATCTCCTTGCAGACACGTTTCAATTCCTTTGCCAAAATCCTGTCGTACATACATCCAGGAAGAGGCGGGATTAATTTTGTGTGGAAAGAAGCATAAGTGGGCAAACACAAAGGAGTCTTACATGCGGACGTTCGTGTTAGCCACGTTTTTTGTAGCGTGATGGCTTGTAGAGTCATATAGAAAGAGCCGTGCCGATTGATGACCTTCTCCATTGTCAGCCGACGTGATGAGCGAGCTAGCGTTCTTGAGAATGAACAGGCTGAAGTGAAACCTGCAAAATCATAGGCACGTTGATTAGTGTTGCTAAATCTCATGCAAGTACGCCAGGCTAAAATTATACGTACTTAGCCGCCGCAAAAATCGCCACGTAGTCGAAGCGTAAGAACGAATCTTTGTCGTCATAACAGGCGATCAGCATCGCATGTGATGCCATATAGTCGTAGGCTTTCACGTCAAGGGCAATCCACGTTTTACTCGTCTCGAGTCTCGGATGTCATATGTCGAGCAGGGTGCGCAAGAGTGTAAAAAAGTTTGCAAACATAAAATGAGGTTTGAGATGTGACACACAACGCAAAAGTTAACTGGAAATAATAAAACCGAGAGGTAAGAAGAAGCTTTAAAAAAAAAAAAAAAGTATTTGCCCCACAATACGGCCCTTACATACATGTTGTGGAAATCCAACGCGGTGTCGGTGATCGGTGCCCCATCCTGGATGTGCAGAGCGTCGGCCATGTTGAGTGATGTCCCGAAACCATGCCAATTGATAATCAACTTCGTAGGCTAGTTGCCGCTCTTAACCCAAGGTTCTTTCCGCGATGAGCAGGCGCTAGTGATGTCCGGGAGCTTCTTGCAACTACTCGCCATGCCACTTATGAGATCTTGAGCAGGGGGGAGGCTACTCACAGGAGGAGGTAACGGCGCAAAGTTAAAGCCATCCAATTTCTACCTTGTCCGCCTTTAGTGGCCGGGGCTGTCTGGTGCTGCTGACCTGCAGCCGCAGTTTGTGCTCGCTTTGCATTCTGTCCGGATTGAAACCTATTACTGCGGCGAACACCATGGGCCTTCCCCTACTCTTCTATGTCTGCCTCTGCCTGGTTATAGTCATATTCTAACCTCTACAGAGTCGTTATTGTCACCGTCGTGGAGTTTGACCGCGTCGTCAGATTTTCCGGTAGGCATCGTGCTTGCTGGAAGTGGCGGAAGCTCAAGAGTACTAGATGACCAAACGAGTCCTTTGATATAAAGTACAGGCTATTTGGAACTAGTTCTAGCAGTAGTGCCGGGCGGACAAATTGTTCGAAAGGGTTGCTCTTGACGACACTCCAACATCTACCTCACGACGTTGCTCTCGCCTACGCCTGCTCGAGCTAGACGTTTGAATTGCCGTGCACCTGCATCCCTCCGTATACCTCGCCACCTCACTCAAAAAGCTCACACTCGAAAACTCTGAAACGCCACATTCTCTGCCCGAGGAATTCGGGCAGCTGACTACCCTGTAGTCACTATGCCAGGTTGAGCTTCTGTGGCTCAGCAGCCTGCCCTCATCGCTTGGCAACCTGACGAGCCTCAAGGTGCTGAAAATAACCAAATGCAGTTTGCTAACGCAACTTCCAGACTCCCTGACTGTGCTGTCTTCCCTTGAGCTATTGGACTTCAGTTGCTGCTGCAACCTCACGTTGCTACCACAAGGCATGGGGGATGGTCTGCATAGCCTGCGCGGACTAATGCTGTTCGAATGCACGGCTCTCACCCACCTCCCTCCTGTCAGAAACAAGAAGTGATGAACTAGAAAGTTGTTGGAGTACAAGTAGGAAACCCTAGTGAAAGGTACCCCCTAAAGGCTAACCCACTGTAGCCTACACAACAGAAACATATATAATGTTTGACACCTCCCACCTTCTCCAACTCTCCTCCCTCGAAACCCTAACGATCCGTGAAGCACCCAGCCTGCGAGGCGTGCTACCAGACGGATTCTCCCACTTGACAAGCCTCCAGGAGCTCTCTCTCTTCAATTTGCCGCACCTGCCCACCCTGCCTGCCTCCCTCCCTGCCATCGGCTGTTCTCTCACCAGCCTCGAGCTGGCCGTTTTCTCGCAAATCACGGTGTTGCCAGAGGAGATCGGACGGCTGGAAGGGCTCGAAACGCTCTCGCTCTGCGATCTGCCCAATCTGAAGTCGCGCCCTCGCTCGCTGTGCCAGCTGCAGCGGTTGAAATATCTGCAAGTGAACACCTGCGGCGCGCTGCAGTCACTGTTTGGGGATGACGACCCGAGGGATGCACACATGGGAGCTGTTGGACATGAACTTGCGGGAAGAATTGCCTGCTTTGAGTTAGCCGGTCACACAGGCAGCAGCAGTGCTGCTGGCAGCTGTTGGGGATCTGAGGAGAGTGACACGGGTGTGTTGCTGTCATCCCTTGAGAGGCTTAGCTTTGCAGACCTTCCATCGCACCTGCTCGGTCCATCGCTAGGCGCCTTCCCATTGCTCTCAAGCCTAGAAATTGCCGGAAGGGATCGGCTTCGCTTGCTTCCAGACTCCATCTCTCGCATCTCTCGCTTGCAGTCACTAAGAATCTGCCTTTTCAAAAGCCTGCTAGCTCTGCCAGAGACAATAGGGAATCTTTCAGCACTCACATACCACAGACTAAAGGGACTCATGAGCTTGTCTGAGCTGCCTGAGTCCGTCGGGCAGCTGAAGAAGCTTCAGTCTTTTGAGATTGTTAGCTGCCCAAACCTAACCAGCCTTCCCAAGTCCGTCACTGAACTTTGCGGACTGGAGTCGTGTCATTTGTCCGAAGTCAGCATTTCGTGCCTTTCAGTTGAGATTTGGAAGCTCTCTGCTTTGCAGAGGCTCTCTCTGTGGCTGCCCAAACTCTGCAGCCTGCCCGAATTGTTTTCGCAGCTGCCAGCACTGGAGACGTTAGACCTTATGGACTGCTCGCTGCTGGCTCAGTTACCCTCTGGCCTTCGGCAGATGGGGAAGCTGCAGGTGTGCCTGGTCCAACGCTGCCCATTGTTGTCAAGATGGAACATGGAGATTGTTGGTACAGCTGACCTGGACGAGGGAGGGCATGTGGTGGGTGGCTTGGAGGGAGAGGATAATTGGGAGGGGGATGATGACTAGGAGGGAGAGGATGAAGAGGAAATAGGGACAGCGGATCAGGATGAGGGGATTGAAGGCGAAGTGAGTGAAGGCGAGGAAGGAGAGGGGAATGAAGGGGAGGGGAGCAAAGAGGAGGGGAGTGGTGTGTAGGGGAGTAGGGAAAAGGCTGAGGGTGGTGATCAATGGTACACAGAAGCTGGATGAGCAAAAGGAAGAGGATGGGGGGAGGGAATGTGGAGAGAATGAAGGGGAGGAAGGAGAAGAGGGAGAGTGGGAGGATGGAGAGGAGAGTGAAGGGGAGGGGAGCAAAGGGGATGGGAGTGAACGAGAGGGGACTGCAGAACGTGGGAGGTGGAGTGAGATGGAGATGAGGAGGACGAGGTCCGAGGAAGTCAATTTGATGAACAAGGATGATTCAGAGGAGGAAAGAGGTGATGTGATCGGGGGGTTGGGGGTTTCATTAGAGAGAGCCGTATGATTGTATGTGTCCTTGGTGTCACAATGTTTCATGTCAACTTATACTCTACTTAAGTTGAGCCATGTTTCCTTGTTGCGTGAGTGCATGTTGGTGGTAAGGTTCTGGTACGATTGCCCTGCTGAATCCTGCTTTGGTCTCTCCACCGCTCTCCCTTCCCCCATTTCTCTCATCTTGCTGCCTTCCACTCTACCCTCTCCCGTGACTACACGTCAGCAGCCAACTTTACCGGCTCCACTGGTGACGCGTCTGGTGGTGCTGATTTGGCAACTCTCTTTGCCACGCTATAAGGCACCCTAAATGAGCTAGCATGTGCCCTGTGCCATGTGTCGTGGCTCGCGTGTGAGTGTGTGGGCGTCACCCGCTCGCACTCCTCATACATCCAACTTGTGTGTGCTGCCTGCCCATATTAGGGTTAGTACTTGTACCTACAATTCTTTCAATGCAGTCATTCTAGCTTCTCATTCTGCCATGGTTTCAGAGCACTAGGTCCGTAGGACCATTTTTATTTTTTTTCGGGCCCACCATTCCGACTGCGGTTTCCGCATTACCCCACTGCCCTGCCCGAACTGCACGTACTGCCCTGCCCTATTTGCACTGCCCGTTGCGCTGCCTGCACAGCTGCCTAGCGCGCGACCTGCTTGCTGCCCTGCTAGCGGCCTGCTCGCGCTGCCCTGCTAGCGCGCTTCCTCAGGCCTTCGTGCATCCGGCCCGCTAGCTGCTTGCACAATCCGCACACTGCCTGTGCTGCCCGAGCCGCGCTGCACCGCCCGAGCCGCGCTGCACCGCCCGAGCTGTGCCGCACTGCCCGAGTCGCGCTGCCCTGCTGAGCTGCGCTGCGCTGCCTAGTTGCCTGGCAGACCGGTTTCTACTACTGCACTGCTGCTTCTACTATTGCTGCTGCTAGTGCTACTACTCCTTGCCTGCAATCGCTCTGCCCTGCCAGTCCCGCACCAGCAGCTATGGCCACCCTCTGCGTTCTGTCGTTCGATACTGAGGGCCGCCCGATTTAGTTTGAGACCTGGCTCGATGACCTGCAGCTGTTCCTAATGAGCGATAGCAAGGATAATGTCTCTCTCTCTTATACCACACATCTGGTGCCTCAGTCGCTCCTGCTGCCACATCTAAGCTTAGTGCCCGTTCCCAGTGGCAGACTCGTGATGCTGCAGCTCGCCTAGCCGTTCGCAACCACCTGCCGTTAGCCGAACTCACGCATTTTGGCGAGCACAAAACCGCTAAGGCCCTGTACGCTGTAGTTTCTCGGTACTCCTCCCCTGCCACTGCTGCACTTAGCCACCTTATGCTGCCCTACCTGTTTTCTGAGCTGTCCACCTTTACAACAGTTGCCGATCTTATCACCCACCTTCGCACTAGTGACACTCGCCTTTGCACCGCCCTCCCCAAAGAGTTCTTAGCTAAGAACCCGCCTCCGATATACTGGACCCTCCACTTCATAGTGACCCGTCTCCCTAACTCTCTTCGCTCGGTCAGGGACCACTTTCTCGCTCGCTCTCCCACCGATCTCACTATTGACCTCCTAGAGGAGCAGCTTCTAGCCGCCAAGACTAGCATAGTCACTGTAGGTGCTGCTCGTGGCGCTCCTCGCACCCCCATCTTTGAAGGGTGCTCTACCTCTCCCCTTGCCCCCTCCTACGCTACTGCCGCTGCTGTTGACTTCCTTGGTGCTGAGTCTGTTGGTGCTGCTTCTGCTCCTAGTGGGAGGCGCCGCAGCAGCAAGGGCAAGGGAGCCAAGGGTAGCGGAGGTGGCACCGGGGGGTGGGGGGGGTGGTGGTGGAGGAGGTGGAGGAGGAGGAGGTGGCAGAGGGAGTGGTGGCGAGAGTGCTAGCGGGAGTGGTGGCGTCGGTGGCAGCGGTGGGAGTGGCGGTGGAGGCGGACGTGGCGGAGGGGGTGGCGGCGGCAGTGGCGGCGGCGGCGGTGGCGGTCGGGGTGTCGGTGGCGGCGGCGGTGGCGGTCGGGGCGGAGGCGCTGGCGCTGGCCAGAGACAGCAGCAGCAGCAGCGTCCCCGTGAGGCTCTTACACCACAGCAGCTTTGTGAGTGGCTTGCTCAGCGTGGGACGTCTGGGGGTAGTGATCGCTGCCCGTATGTCATTCGCGCATGTGACCGCGCTGGTCAGACATGCGGGAAGTTCCACACTCAGCACCGCTGCTTCTCCCGCCTTGACGACGCCTGGCGTGAGGAGATGGGCGAGGAGGTCGAGCGCCCTCGCTCGCATGAGCTGCTTAAGGCTGGTGTAGACATCTTCGCTCTTGACTATAATGCTATCCTTGCTGCCATGTATGCATTAACTATTAGTGCTGAGGGAGACTGTTACTTGTGTGTGCCGCCTGACCCAGGTATAGAGGCTGCTGCCTTAGGTGCGAGCGAGTATGCTCTTTTAGGTACTGCACCTACTGAGGCCTTGCACACCTTCACGCTTGACTTAGGTGCTTCCCGCTGTTTCTTTCGTGATAGTACTGCACTCATACCACTCACTGCACCTGTTGCAGTCTCTCTGGCTGACCCCTCAGCGGGCACAGTTCTTGCACGGTCCACCACTCTGCTCCCGTGCCCAGCGGTTCCGTCTGGCTCACTGACAGGCCTCCACCTCCCCTCATTCTCTACGAACTTGGTGAGCAACGCAATTCTCCAGAACAAGTGGGTTGACACCTTTACCCCTGGAGGACAGTGTGTGGCGATCTGTACGTGCTCCCAGACTCGCCGCCACCTGGCCACGTTTACCCGTCGGCCAGGGTCGAGTCTTTACACACTGACGACTGCGCCGGACTCTTCTCTGGCACCACCGTCTGGGTCACCCCTACTTGCCACGTCTACATGGCATGCATAGTCGCCTCCTTGTGTCTGGTCTTCCCAGGTCTCTCCCTCCCCTCCCTGCCTTGCCTGCGCTACCCTGCATTCCTTGCCTCGGGCGGCAGCGCGCTGCTTCCTCACTCCTCCTCGTTTCCCCCGAGGCTCCTCTACAGACCCTCCACGTGGACGTGTGGGGCCCAGCCCGCGTTCGTGGACAGGGCAGCGCGCGGTACTTTCTGCTGGTTGTCGACGACTACTCGCGTTACACCACGGTCTTCCCCTTGCGCACGAAGGGTGAGGTCCCTGATGTCCTGTACCCTTGGATCCGAGCAGTTCGTCCCCAGCTCCGCGAGCGGTTCCGCCACGACCTCCCAGTCCTGCGTCTACACTCTGACAGAGGTGGTGAGTTCTCCTCCGACCTCTTGCGGGCCTTCTGTCAGGGGGAGGGCATCCGCCAATCGTTCACGCTTCTGGCCTCACCGCACCAAAATGGGGTTGCTGAGTGCCGCATTGGCTTGGTCATGGAGCTCGCTCGTACCTCCTTGATCCATGCGGTAGCTCCCCATTTTCTGTGGCCGTTTGCGGTCCGGTACGCCGCGCAGCAGCTCAACCTCTAGCCCCGTGTCTCCTTGCCTTAGACCTCGCCCACACTGCGTTGGACGGGAGAGGTTGGCGATGCGTCGGTGTTCTGGGTCTGGGGTGCTCGTGCCTTTGTCCGCGATACGTCCACGGACAAGCTCTCCTCCCGCACCATGCCCTGTGTCTTCCTCGGCTTCCCAACTGACGAGCCTGGCTGGCAGTTTTACCACCCCTCCTCGCGCAATGTTCTGTCCTCTTAGGACGTCACCTTTGACGAGTCGGTTCCTTTCTACTGTCTCTTCCCCTACTGCACTGCCCCTCTCCCTCCCCCGCCGCTTTTCCTCGCTCCATGTCCCCCTCTGGTAGACCCTCTCCCCCGTCAGGGTCCTGCTCCTTCATGTGTGTTTTAGGTAGACCCCCTCTCCTTGGCTGAGCCTGTCGAGGTCACTAGCGACTCAGGTGTTGCTTGGGGTGATGTGTCTGGGGGTGCTGAGCCTCTGCTTCAGGTGCTAGGGGGTGTGGAGCCTGAGTGTACTGAGCCTGCGAGTGCGGAGCCTGGGGGTGCTGAGCCTGCAAGTGCGGAGCCTGGGGGGTGCTGAGACGGAGGGTGCCAGGTGCTGAGCCGGAGGGTGCCGGGTCTGGGGGTGCTGAGTCTGCTGGCGCTTCTCTGGGTCTCTTTTCATGCTTGGGGCCTCTCTCACCACAGCAGCTACGAGAGTGGCTTGCGTGGCGTGCCTGCCTAAGAAGTCGTGCTGCTGGAGCTGGAGGTACTGCTGCTGGAGGTACTGCTGCTCGAGGTGCTGGGGCTCGAGCTGCTGGAGCTGCTTGTCATGGAGACGCTGGGAGTGCTGGTGTTTCTGGTTCTGGAGGTGCTCGTACTAAAGGTACTAGAGCTGCTAGGACTTGTGGTGCTGCTGGAGCTGGAGTTGCCTGTTCTGGGGGTGCTGCTACTGGAGGCACTGGGGCTGAAGGCCCTGGAGCGGGTGCTGTCGACACTGGAGCTGGAGACCCTGGAGTTGGAGGTGATGGAGATAGCGGCGCTGGCGCTGGAGGCGTCGGGGCTGGTGGCCCTGGAGCTGGAGCTGCTGGTCCTGGAGGTGCTAGTACTGGAGGTGCTGGAGCTGCCGGAGCTGGTGCTGCTGCTGGTGCCGGAGGCGCTGTAGCTGCTGGAGGCGCTGGAGCTGGTGGTGCTCGTACTGGAGGTGCTGGTGCTAGTGGTACTGCACACCAGCGACTGTTCTACACTCCGCGGTCACCGTCGTCTCTGCCACCGCCTGACTCCGTGCTTCGCCAGGTTCTTAGCCTCCCGTCTTCTACTGACCTCCCGTTAGAGCCAGGCTCCCGACAACCTGCTCCTTCTCTTTACACAGAGCAGACAGACTTGCTTACAGAGCGTCGTAAGCCTGCGTCTCGTCCTGCCTCGCCTGTTCGCGCTGGTTGCACTGGTCGTTGTGTTCCTCGTGAGCGTCCTCCTCCTGTCCTTGGCACGCACACTATGTGTCAGAATCCCTGCCACTAGACCACTGGGATAAAAGGGCTTGTTAAGTAGCGGGTCACTGCGCCCATAACCCCCCAGGACAACGAGCCTGTAACCCTTCCCTAGGATCAATCGGGGATCACCAGTGGATCTCTGACACCCCCCCGCACTGGGATGCCCGAAGTGCACACACCGGGATACGAACCCGAGACCTTCGCTCTGATACCATATCAGAATCCCAGCCACTAGACCACTAGGATAAAAGGGCTTGTAAAGTAGCGGGTCATTGCCCCCCAGGACAACAAGCCTGTAACCCTTCCCTAGGATTAATCGGGGATCACCTGTGGACCTCTGACACTATAGCACTTCGTCCTTCCTTTGTTCCACAGCGTATTCCCCTGCCGTCTCCTCCTACGTCCTCTCTT